TCAGTGAATATTCTACTCGACCTTTTTAACTGCATCTACAAAAGAGGAGAAATACCAAAGGAATGGCTACTTTCAACTTTTGTAACCTTACCAAAAAAGGCAAATGCAAAACAGTGCACTGACTACCGCACTATAAGCTTAATGGGTCATAGATTAAAAGTATTCATCAAAGTAATCCACTCAAGAATTAACAGAAAACTAGATGCAGATATTAGTAATACTCAATTCGGATTTCGGAACGGGCTTGGAACAAGAGAAGCACTATTTGCACTTAACGTCATATGCCAAAGATGTCTAGATATAAACCAAGATATATATATATATATATATATATATATATATATATATGTGCTTCATTGATTACAACAAAGCGTTTGATAAAGTTCGTCACGATCACTTATGAAACTGCTAGTAGAAAAAAACTTGGATAAAAGGGACATTAGAATTATCTCTAAGATTTACTATAACCAGAAAGCAAATATCCGAATAGAGCAAGAGACAACGGAGGAAATCGAGATCAAGAAAGGCGTAAGACAGGGTTGTATACTCTCACCGACCTTATTCAATCTATACTCCGAAGACATTATAAACACAGCACTTTCGGATCAAAATATAGGTATTAAGATAAATGGCATCCGAATAAACAACTTGAGATATGCCGATGACACGGTACTAATCGCAGAAACTTGGGAAGATCTTCAAATACTAATTAACAAAATAGTAGAATGCAGTGAAGAACACGGATTATCACTTAACATAAGCAAAACAAAAATAATGCTAATATCCAAATCACCACAAAACTTCCCTGACATAACCGTGCATGATCAAAGAATCGAACGTGTAAGAAGATATAATTACCTGGGAACTGTTATCAACGAAAATAATGATTGCTCTGAAGAAATCAGAACCAGAATAGAGAAATCTAGAGCCACATTTACTAAATTGAAAAAGGTGTTCTGCGGAAGAGATCTAAGTCTAAAACTTAAAATTCGCCTTTTGAGATGTTACGTTATGTCAGTTCTCCTCTACGGGATGGAAACATGGACATTGAAAAAGATCGATACCAAAAAGATATAAGCATTTGAGTTGTGGATGTATCGTAGAATATTAAGAATACCCTGGACAGAGAAAGTAACAAATGTGGAGGTTTTGCGGAGAGTGCAGAAAGAGAAAGAGCTGATACTTACTGTTAAAAAGCGCAAACTACAATATTTGGGACATGTTATGAGGGGAGATAAGTACCAGTTGCTGCAATTGATTATACAGGGAAAGATAATGGGAAAGAGATCTATAGGAAGAATAAGGCATTCATGGTTGAAAAACTTGAGAGAATGGTACAATTGCACCAATTACCAACTGTTTAGATCTGCAGCATCAAAAATACGCATAGCTTTGATGATAGCCAAACATCGGAACGAAGACGGCACTTGAAGAAGAAGAAGGGTTTATGTAATAACATTTGAAATGGTTATTTCCCCAATGAATTTCTAGTAATTCCTTGATGATTATAGGTTTATTACTTTCTCCTTTACTAAAACTTCTTAATGCGTATGCTATCGGTAGGTCCATTCCATTGTAGTTTTGACTTAAAATTGCTGAACAACTGTCGTTGGATGCGTCTGTTGTCAAAATGAATTGTTTACTGAAATCCGTTCACATTTCGTTGACCAAAAAAATTCTACCCCTTTCCTCGATAATCTGTTTCGTGGTATGCATATTTCAGCAAAATTTTGAATAAAACGTCTATAGTAGTTACAAAATGCTACGAATCTTTTTGTCTCTACTGCTGTCTTAGGTGTCGGATATTATTCAATCGTTGCGTATTTTGCTTTATCAGGTGATACTCCTTCCTAAGAAAGATTATGTCCTAAATATGTGACTTCTCTTCTAAAAAGTTGACATTTTCCTGGGTTAAGTCTTAGGTTGAACTTTCGACATGTTTCAAATGTATTTTTTAGGTTATCTAAATGATGCTTTTCTGATATTCCTATTGCTACTATATCGTCCATGTAAAGAAATGCTTTGTCCGGGGTTAAACCTGAAAAACCTATTGACATCATTCTTAAAAAGCTATTCGGGCTTACGTTTAATCCAAAAGGTAATTTGGTGAATTGAAATGCTCCGTTCTCCGTGCTAATCGATGTGTACTTCCTTGATGATTTTTCTAATGGTATTTGGTGAAAACCTTACATTAGGTCTATAACTGAAAATCATTTTGCTCTCCCTAATTGATCTAGTATTGAGTCTATTCTTGGGAATGGGAATTTGTCTGTGACCATTTTTTTGTTCAGTTATCTAAAATCTATGCATAATCTCCATGCTTTATTTCCATCTATAGCCTTTTTAGGTAAGAGCACCTCCGGGCTATTGTATTCTGATGTAGATGGTTCTACAATTTCTTGGTCTCTCAATTTCTGTACTTGTCGGTTTAACTCTTCTATTTGTGCATGCGGTGTCCTATAATTCCTGATGTAAACTGGGGTTTGGTCTTTCACTCTCAGTTTTTGTTCGTAGAAGTTGTTACATGTTAGTATGCCGTGAAAGATACCAATTTATCGCGTGTGTATTTTGGGATATCTAACTTAAGTGATTCCCGTAATTCCTTCTTCCTATCTTTACTGTTATTGATCAGTCAATACATGCTAAACAATTTAATGTCTAGTGTTCTGATTGTGTTTGTCTCTATCTTTACCGTTTCGTAGGTTGTATTTAAAATTTTGATGTACGGATTAATGCTTGAAATGATTGCTCTTGCTATGAATATTTCAGGTAGTATCTCCTGTTGTTCCACTACTCTGTCGTTCTTCAGTGTTTGAAAATTTTGTCTTTCACATTTCTGAAGGCTATCTTCCTCTGTCTTGTTAATCTTCGTTGTTTCCTTCCTATATGTTGCAACAGGCCTTATATAATAAGTCTCATATAGGTTCATCCTTGTTTTTTTACTTAGAGTCTTGCTTCTCAACAGATTTCTATTAATTCCATATATTTTTTTGACTTTCAGAATTATTTCCTCTGTTCTCTCTTTTCCAGTTTTCCCTATTGTTACTCCCAGCTAAAGGTGGCTACAGTTAAAGTTGTGGTTCTGTGTTATTAGATATTTCTGGGATGTTGTGTCGTCCTTCCCTATTGTCATGTATTTTGTTTTGTGCTGGTTTATTTCTAGCCATAGTTTCTTTGCTTCTTTATCTAATTATTCCATTCTCTTATGTGTCATCTTCGTCTTTGCTATGATGACTAGGTCATCTGCATTTGCTATTACTTGAAGTTAATCTGTAATAATGTTTTTATTTACGAAGTTTGTCCTCATTATTATTGCTTCTAATATCAGGTTAAACAGTGTCGGGCAGATAGAGATATCTGTCTGTGGTGCTCTTTAGACTCACAGTTAGCATAATATGTCTCTAATTTATTTGGATTCCAAATGCTCTAGCTCTTCGATAATTTTGGTCTGATTAATTCTATCAAAAGCGCTCTTGAAATCTATGAATATTACTTGCATTTCTCTATTGTATTCTCTCGGTTTTTGAATTATTTGCTCCACTGTATGTATGGAATTAATAATTGTCGATCTCCCTGGTCTGAACCCTTTCTGATATTCTCCTAATTTAAGTCTCATGTTTAATATATTTGCTAGAGTTTTGTATATCGTGTTTAATAGGGTTATTTTTCTGTAATTCTTCTTCTACCGATCTTCTTTTCTATAGATAGGCACTATAACACCTCTGTTCCAATCATCTGGTAGTGTGTTTTGTGTACATATTTATTGTATTAGCTTGTTTATTTCTTTATGTAATTCTCTTTTGTATTTTTGTATTTTTTCTGTTTTGTTTTCATGGGTTGTTGATCCATGTCAATCTGGCGGAATTTTTTAGTGTTTTCTTTATTTTGCAACCTTGACCGTACCAGTCTTTATTTCTTTTTGTTGTTTTTTTCCGTTCATTTGTTGTTTCATTTATTTTGCTTTTAATTCTTGCCGTCTTTCGTAAATATTTTATTGTTGACTAATAAGGCTTTGTATAAGATGAACTTTCATTCATTTGTTGTTCAAATTTTTCTCTTATTTCAGTCTCTTCTAATGCTTCTAGGTTCCATTTATTAGACTTGGTTTTAGCTTGATATTTTTTTCCATTTGAGCTTTCTCATTTTTATTATTACCAGAAAGTGGTCCATGTCCGCGTTTGCCCCTCTGTAAGACCTTGTGTCCAGAATTTTTTGTACCAACTCTTTGCTTGCTAGAACGTGGTCCATTTGATTTTCACTGCCAGATGGATGTTACCAAGTTGCCTTATGTTTTCTTGGATGCTCAAATTCCTTTTTCAGTTCCTTTTCAGTTTTCGACTAGGTCTTTCAAGTAGCATCTATTTTTTTATATTTCGTCGCATGCTTTATTTAGGTTTTCGTAGAATTTATCTTTTTCTGTTGGATCGGATGTTTCAGTTGGAGCATATATATTTATTGATGCTATGTATTGTTTCTCCATTTTTTAGTTTCAGTGCGGCGATCCTCCCGTCTATCGGATTGAACTTTGTTATGCTGTTTGTGATTTTTTTGTATTTATAGGAAACCCTACTTTATTCTTGCATTGTTTGCCATCTCCAGTGTATATAAATACATTTTTTTCTTTTGTGATTTCTCCTGTTTTCCCCATCTTACCTCTTCTACCGCTGCGATGTCTATTGTGAAAAATACATCAATAAACTCGCATAAAACAATACTTCAACAAACTCGCAAGGACAATCTGTAATAAAAATAAAAATAAAAACTGACTAATTAGCTACAATGGACTGTAATGGAAATTAAACTCACCGTTTAATGTATTTACACTTTTATTTATTTTGTGCACTTCTATACATTTTCTACAATTGCATAATTTAAATCTAAAATACATACCAACTTTTACATAACAAATACCGGTTTATTAATTTCTGGTGCACACGCTACAGTGCTATATGTCAGATCATCGCGTGTTACAATAATAACATATGCATTATTTCTTTTAGGCAAAACAAGGAAAAATAACAAGCAAGAAGAAAAGGCATCAAAGGTACAGAAAACCGAGGAATCTCCAAAAATAGACTCTTTTAAAAAAGAAACACTTAAGCCAGAATCTTCAAAAAAAGAAAAATCTAAAGTTGATTCAGCTAGAAATACTAGCAATAAAGTCAAAGATTATACAAGAAATGATAATATTACTTTGTCTGAAAATAAAGATGAAGCAGTAGAAAATAATACAAGTAAACAACAAGAAGACGATGGACCAAATTTAGAACCAAGTAAAGATCCTGAAGAGACACCAAAGTTAGGACATAATTTAGCTATAAACGAAGGTTTAAACACTACAATTACGAATGAAATTAACAACGAAACCGAAAACCTTGATGCTAAAAAAAGCATAGCCAATGTGGAACTAAATAGCAATCGGAATTTACTAAGACCCAAATCAGCACGACCTAAAAGTGGTGATTTGGACAAAAATAAAACTACAACTAAAGATCAAACCCAAAATGAACCATTCAAAATGTTGGAAACAAGTGGTAAGTACTTTTTGAAATAAACTTTTATAGATAGATTTAAGAAAAATATACTTTTTTAGAAAAAAAAAATAGACTTGTGAAACCTACTACACACTTGTATTAAAATTGCAGTATTATCTTCTTCTTATGATATTTTCATGCCATTTTTTTTCTTAAAGGAAAAATCTTAGAATTATGAAACATAGAATACAGGTTTCCCTTGGTCTAAAGAAGAGCCCTATTGAATTTGGGACAATATGTTTGCTTCTTGTCATATCCTTATGTCTTTTCTAGGCATGGCGCTGGGGTTCCTGATCCTCTTGTAATCACTTATTTAATTTTGGTCTTTCAATAAGTTGTAGGTGACCAAAATATAAGTTATACATGTTAGATCACTAATGACTTATTTAAAAACGAACTTTATTATTTGTTACACTATAAGTAAATATAAATGAGGTTTATTAGCTACAATGTCTATGAATGATTTAAGTTACTTTACAAGTTGGAAACCCTAATTCAACTCACTTCAAAGGACTTCTGCAAGTCAGCTATTCTTCTGGTCTTCTCATGAATAACACAATTGGATGTCGGTGAATCTTAGTTAGCTCAAGGTTACTATTTTCACATATTTGTTCAGAAACCGTTCATTAGAACTGGTCGTACTGCAGCTAATTAGCTTATTATAGATCTTCCATTCTTGTAACCTTCTGGCTTAGGATTTAGTGTTAACAACTACTTAAGTAGCTGGGACTGATGACTTAATGACTCCGAAGCAAGGAGGCAATTCAGTTAAATTATAAATTTGAAAAATTTTGATATCTGTGCAAGGATCGAACCTGGATCAATTTTTATATAGATAAGTTAGTATAACTAGATTACCTGCTAGATGCTGATAGATTTGGTTGCTGACATCATGCTCATAATGGAATTTAGTTCGCGTTAGAATCGATAAACGATTTTGGTGGAATGGCGAAAGGAAGTTTTGAAATTATTAGCCCCTTTCACCACTTCCTACATTTGTGAATTACCTTTGTTCAAGGGTTAACATGAAAACTAACAACACAAAATGAGTTCCAGTTGGAAAATGATTAAGTATTTATATGCCAAACATAAAACCAATATTGAAAAATATTAAACAATAATCAGGCACAGTCTCTCATATTGGCTTTTTATTCCTCCTGGCTTGCGAATGGGACCCCCTGTAAGGGATCGCGAAGCAAAGGTTGAAAAATACGGATCTAGGAAATCGGCATTGCTTTTCTGGCAACAGGCAAGTACTGAACTTTTGGAATTGGCGATTAAGAAAGACTCACTTTGAACTCATTTTCGTACGACTTTGACTTGTTTTAACGCTCCGAACAGTTTGTATATATATATATATATATATATATATATATATATATATATATATATATATACTCCATTCCACGAATATACGACTGTTTTAAATTCGTTTTAAGGTTTCGACTTAAGTGGTCCAATGTGCTGAATTGTACAATGGTAAATTCTCCCCATTTTTAAAATACTGTTATGACAGATATACACCTTAGATTTAAATATGAAGTTATGATCTAAATATAGAATTGATAGTTTATAGAATAGTTGTAATTCAGATTTTGACGTATACTCGTATAATTACTCTCATTGACTTTAGTATTGTAAACAAGTTGGTTTTTGAATTAAGTGATTTAAACGAAGTGTAACAATACTTAAGTGATTAAATAGTTTAATTTATTTAGTCGAATATTCATTTAGTATTAAAAAATCAAAAAAACTTACTCTTATTCTCCTAATCACCATCACAAACAAATACACTACACTAAACTCTCTCTTAACGGACACGTCTCTTCACCGGACACCTCTATACGGACTGTTTTTAAAACTAAAATCAGTCCCGGACAACAACTAACAATAACCACGAAGGAAGCTACCGCTACCTGAGGAATGCCAAATGTTAAAATGTTTAAAACAAATAGAAAAGGTTAATGCGAGTGAATAATTAATGTAAAATGTAATGGCATGTCTCGCAAATAGTAAAACAAAACCCAAAATAGGTATACCGATGAAAGGCAACTGCAGATACATATTTTTGATTATTTGGTCGTCATCAGTACGGTCCAGCCGTTCTTCACATGCCATTACATTTTAACTTAATTATTCACTTGCATCACCCTTTTTTATTTGGTACGGTTTCTAAACTCTTTAACGTTTGATATTCTTTTTCTCAGATAGCTGTAGGTTCATCCATGGCGATTGTCGGTTGTTGCCCTGGAAACCATTAGGGTCTTCTAACTCTATTGCCAAAAATTGGTCGTATTGCACCTATAGTGATCTTTTCCCAAATTAACTAGCTCCTTATATAACAGCTGCACCATACTGATGACGGTGCAGCCAGTCAATCTCTTATATGCTAGCCAGTTCTTGGAAAGAGCAGGAGAGGAAGATCAAAGAAGACTTCGCGAGAGATTCCTAGGCAGCACACGTCGGTAAAGAAGATTGATATTGGTATGACTCAAGATAGAAACTTATGGAGAAATAAAAATTGCGGATGCTGACCCTGCATAAGGATACAGGCAAAGAGAATGATGCTTCTTTTTAGTTTGTAAGTTACATTAATATTTTTCTGATGTGGTTTCCCTGTTTATTATATTGTTTTAAGATTAGTCGTTTTTTTATTTTTAATTTATCAGTGTAACGATGTAAAGGTAAACCTAACAAGGTAAACCAACTAGGGTCAGATACTTGGAAAATATTTAATTTCATTTCACTTATATATAGACAGACAAAAATATACGAAACGTATACGGTGATGTGAAAACAAAATTTTACAGTTCACCAAAAATAGCTGAAAGTCTGAAAATAACCACATCCATGAAGCGCAAATCATCCGACGGATCTCGCACTGAGCGTCCACTTAATATCTGCCGTTTGTGATGTCAACAAGTCGGTACAGCCTGCGAAACATTTTTTGTAAGTACGAACCGCAAAGGAGAGTGAGGAAGCCTTGTAACTGGCTACCTACATCATGAGAGTTGGAAATCTTTTGATTCCAAGCCTTACTTCAAAGGACTTGTGAATGGATGCATCTCCATAGGTTTGGTTCTTCAGTGACCGTTGAAGGATAAGGATTCTTAATGTGAGCAAATATAGCTCCAGAGAAATAAAATCACCTTTGAGTTTATCGATTTATAATTAAATCTTTTAAGAGTAGAGAGGCCCAACACGGCCGTAACTTACCATACAATATCAAATGTACTCTTTCTTTATTACACGTAAAAGAAACACCGTTATGAGAAAATGCCCGATTTCGGCGGAGATAAATATTTAATACGTGAATTGCGAGTTTTTAACTACCCGCTGCGGCGATGCCTCGAAGGCCATATGCCAACTTGAACTGATGATACAACACTATATAATGCGTGAACGGGAATTTTACCCTTATTTTATTTAGGTGAGAAAAATATTTAACAGGGTCCGACGTCAGACGCCAGGGAGTCGCGTTCAAACGATAAAGTAACTGTTCTAGTTATTCTACACTAAGAAAAGTCAAATAATTACATTTTTATTTTATATTTTAAAAACAATATGTTCATTTCTGGAACATAGACTGCCCGCGTTGAAGTATTTACTTCAAAACGAAAGAAAGAGTGATTTGAGAAAGTAATCAAACTTAACTTAAAAGCAATTTAAGAAATAACTATTCCTAAACTAGAGTAATACATATAAATGTAACAAAATTTAAAATTTTAATTTTCTACTTTGTCCACAGGAAGAAAACAGAGTTTTGTAATAGGTCTGTTAAAATATCCATATCTAGTCTTTATTTTAACACTACGGACCTTATCGTCCTTACCAGTAAACAAGTAAACAATTCTTGCCAATGGCCAGTGTAGGGGTGGAACTTTATGTTCCTTATTTTCAAGACAAGAAAATTCTCGAAAGAAGTGTGCCTTTTGCAAAAGTTTTATTATTAAATTTTCAGCATTTTGTAATTCTGAAACAGAGAAGGGTCCAACATATTTTTCATTTGGAAACTTGAAATTGTGAATGTACCTGAGAATAAGTGCGATACTGCGGTGTAATTTTGAGAAATTTGAAAATTTGAGAGATAAATTTTCAATGAAACTTATTGGGCTTTCTTGTGATAGATGAACTATTTTCTTTTCCTCGGGTATTTTACTTACCTTTGGTTTTGAATCATACTTAGTTAAATCTAAGTGATAATTAAGTAGAAATGAGGGACCTTGAAACCAAAATTTTGAGTTTACCAGTTCAGGAGCTGACATGCCTCTTGACGCAATATCTGCGGGGTTTTCTTTTGACTTTATATATCGCCATTTAAATTGTGGGTTTCCTTGTATTTCAGAAACTCTATTTGCCACAAACTGTGACCATCTCGAGTTATGTGAGCCTAACCAAGCAAGTACGATTTCTGAGTCCGTCCAGCAGTTTATTGAGTCTATTTGAGTTAATTTATTATTTAGAATTTCAACTATTCTTTTAGTGAGTTTGCTGCATAAAACAGCACCCATAAGTTCTAACTTAGGTAAAGTTAATGTTTTGAATGGAGCTACTCTACTTTTAGAGGTGATGAGTGTGGAAGAGACATATCTTTGCTCATGCGCAAGTGTGAGTGTTTCAATACTATTTGTACTATATAATATGTCATCAATATAGCAGAAATTAATATGCATATCATGAGCGAGAGGATATTCTTCCTTATGCATGTTTGCGAGTTCAATTAAACATCGTGTACTAAGGAAGGTAGCTGGTTTTGTTCCATAGATAACCGTTTCCAATTGTATACATTTTAACGGCTCCGAGGGAGAGTTGCGCCACAAAATATTCAATAAGAAAGTTTGGTTGGGGTTAATTCTGATTTGTCTAAACATCTTTTTTTATATCAGATGTAAATACATACGTGAAGAGTCTAAAATTGACTAAAGTGTCAAATAGTTCTGGTTGTGTGGTATAACCCTTTAACATGATATCATTAAGGCTAAAACCCGAAGTGGTTTTCA